TTGTACGAATATATTGGTTTTTGTTAGTATTCAGAACAATTAGCACTGTGAATATACAGATTCCGTTTTCACTTAAAAGGAAGCTTATTTGTGCAATTTTTTCTGTATTTTTTAATTCAAAATATGAAACATCCTCTAACTAGTATGAAACCAAACTCTAAAAATCATATTTTTAAAGTTTTCCCAGCATGTTTAAAGCTGCAGAGGCTTAAATACTGTGTGAATAATATTGTAGTTGAAAGGCAAAATTGGTTGTTATTTTACATAATTATGTCGTTGTATAAATTTTAAGTTTTTTTTATAGATATAATCGAAATAGATTTATTTCAAATACAACATATTTTGTCTAAAAACGATAGGATTTTTTAAACTAAATATCACTCAAAACGATTATATCGAGTAGGTACTACAAAATATAGGTACAGTCATAAAGGAACAAATATGGTGTGAAGAAAGAAAATAAAGACTAGAGCAAAAAGAGAAAGAAAGAAAAGAAGAACAGATATGAGCCACTTGTTTTTAATACAAAAAATAGATTTATACTTAATAAAGTAATAATTAGTGCTATTAGATGAGAATGAACATAATACGAAATTGAGCAGGAACCCAAAACAAATATGTACTAAAAAATGTTATAAAGACTAAACGAGATAATTAATTTCATCTATTGACTCGATAAAAACAATATGTATTGTCGCATCTAAACAAGATATAAACAACAATAATATAGTTGTAAATCAGCAGCATCCTACTTTACAGTACAAGATAACATGTCAAGCTCATATCATATGCTTAGCGATGCAGACACAGCAACCAACGTTATCTTCTGTTTTGTTTCCTCATGTGTAGTATCATCATGTTATGATGTTACTATCACTTCAGCAAGTGAATAGGTATATTGCTGTGTGGTGCTTTATTTGTCATAGGTCAAGTGTTATAAACAGAAAAAGATTAAAGAATGAAATATTTATTAAACGGTTAACGCTAAATTAATTATTACTCACTTCATTGGTACTTATCTAATTAGTATTCATCGCTCTATCAACAGTTAGAAGTGTCCTTATTGATTGAATATCTATTAGTTGGATACTAACTATTTAGTGCATATTTTGCAAGTATCGATTAGACAGTGCTGAACAGGTCACTATTTATTGACTAAATATTAATTAATTACTTATTCATAATTTAATAATTATATAGTATCTTCCATCGTAGCTCACAAACGAAATGTGTGTATGCCTATTATTAATCAGGGAACATGGACTAAAGTTGATAAGTGAAAGGTGGGCAACCTAAAACTGAACTCGATATGTCGAGTTTACGGTTTCTAGTGTACTTTTCTTGATCCATGAGAATTTTGCAAAACACGTACAAGACTTTATGCTTGCAAAGAATCAGTAATGAACGCTGTATGTCTAATGATAACAATACTTAGGAACCTATTCTTATAAATATATGAGACATTGTAACTTTGTGCAAGTTCAAACAAAAAATCGACCAAACATTGGAAATGTCATGTTACTTCATTTTGTTTCTTTAGACAACTTTGGTTTAGTTTTGTTAAACAACTATTATTATCATATATTTCAACAAAGTATTATCAAGAAAAGAGTGTTTTTTTCTATACTATCATGTCTAACATGACGCTTTTTATTTTTAATTACATTTTTCATGAATTAGAACACCTGAAAAATAACAAATACAGTAAAACCTCTGTTAGTGGACACTTCTTTAAAGTGGACATCTCCCTATTGTGGACACCTCTCGGTCCCACCGAGCCTTTTTTGCTGGAAATGAACCTCCCGAATGTGGACACCTCCGTGTTCTGGACTGCGGACACTTTTATCTGGTTCCATTGCAGTGAATAACCTCTTCATAGTGAACAGTTTGTTAAGTTTGTCGCATTATCTTCGTCTAGACAGAATTGTGCATGTGACAAGGCGCTAATGAAATCAATATGCGACGTAAACTGCAATACAAAGGCAATGGAAAGAAAATAGACTAGGCAGAAACAAAACAGACAGGGTAAAACGAGAATAGACTAGGCAAAAAAAGAACAGACCAGATGATAATATAAAAGGACAGCAAATTACTAAATTGAACACACGTTCACCTATCTACTCATGAAGCAACACGAATTGACATTAGAACAGAAGATTTCTTTGATCAACGACAATGACAGCGGCAATGGCCTTTCGATACGTAAACTGGCAGACAAAGTAGTGTCGCCAATATCTTGACACGCAGCGCCGAATATCAGAGCGATTATTCATCTAATGCTAACAAGAGCATCAAGCGAAAATTGAAAGATGAAAGTGGCAAACACGTCGACGAAGTCCTCTTCGAATGGTTCACGGCTCAACATGCAAAACTCATTCCTGTGTCGGATCCAAAGTTGTAAGAGAAAGCGCGAGAAATTGCCGAAGAAATGGACAATCTACCAGGAGAGTTCAAAGCGTCAAATGGGTGGCTTCAGAGGTTTCGTAATCGGCATATGATCGGATTCGGGCAAATTTCGGGTGAGAGTGCAAGTGTCATCACAGCCACCACGGATGATTGGAAACATCGTCTTCTGACAATCGTTAATGGATACAATGACAACGACGTGTATAATGCGGACGAAACAATTGCGAACGAACTTGAGAAAGGAGTGGAATCCACTATAGTAACGATAGTGATCACTTTGAAGCGAAAGAAATCTAAAACCTCTCTTAAGTAGACACTCCCGTATAGTGGACACTTTGAAAAAGTCCTTTAGGTGTCCGCTATAGAGAGGTTATACTGTATTGCAATGGTCTACAATCAGTTTGATCTGTTCTTTTGGTGTACCCGCAAAGAAGCTATTATAGTGGTCCATATATAGTATATGTCGTTTCAGACTTCGCAGTCTTGCCTCGTATGTATGATGAATAAATAGAGTACTGTGGAATTTTTTCTCTTTCTAGTTGACTGTCCTCATTGTTGGTGTTTTCAATAGTCACTGCTCTTTTGATGGCTTCCATGTGCTTTAATGTCAGTTAAGCTACTAAATTTTTACGTAACACAAGAAAACCAAGCTTTTCACCCTTTATCACTGATAAAATAGATGAGACCGAGGACAAGCATTCAAGAAAGACTTATCGAAATTGTGAATTAATACATGTTGATTGATAACTAAATCAATGGATGATTATTTATTCTGTATACTAGAGCCAAGAGGCTCAAGCCTAATATAACGACAAACTGGAAGAGTAACTCATCTCTATCTTCTGTAACGATGTTTCTTGAGTGATCTCATACCTCCGAAATATGTTTGTCGTCCGTTAAACACAAACTGATGTACGATAGGGAGATGAATATCAGAAAGCTTAAATGAAAATATCAGTGAGAGTGTAATATTCATATCGATGCAACTGGCCTATTGCATAATTACATCAACCGAATACAACATCTTTCAAAGTAAAATGTTTCAATACTATTATTAATAAAGAGAATATGAAGAGATAGAAAACTTGTGACTATTTAGCGTACTAATTTAATAGTTCTAGGAAATTCTTTAGCTGCATTTCATAACTTTTTGGTTTTTTCTTCTAATCCATTCGATGTAAAGATGACATCATCAATATATTATTTGGCATTTAAAAAGAAGAAATAATCCAATTAAATTATTTTTATCCAAAATGAAATTGATCGGCAATTCATCTCATCAAAAATCAACCTTTTAAAGAATGATTTGTTTTTCTAACGTTCGTATTGAAATATTGGTGAAAGTTTGAAGGTACCTAAATCGATAAAACACACTGACATATCTGTTGAAGAAATGACAAGCTCAACCTGATAAATCTGAACTCTTAATTGTCAGTGACAGACCTTCTGTCGAAATTCAACAATAAATTGATGTATTTCATACATATATGATACTGAAAGAAATGGAGTTATTTCAGTGATGTGTTTCGTAAGTTTTAGAAGTTAATACTCTTCAGATCTATACTACATATAATGTAGCAACAGAAAATGAATAATAATTATTATCATATATTAAACTGGCAAGAAGCATTTATAGAAAAACACAATAACTAATCCGATTTTATTTAAATACAGACAAGTTCATTAAGTTCAGCTGTGCATGTATTTGCTGATGATAATGAAGTATTTTCATGTATTGTAAAAAAGAAAACTGTTGAATCTATTGCTAAAGAACATTTCACAGAAAATTAATCTTTACTTCATAATAGACAGAATACCATTTTGTATATTTTTTTGATTTGTTGAAAAGTCAAATTGTCTCAAATAACAACTTATAATTTAGTACTGGCTAAACATTAAGTGTTATTATCCGTATAATTTAAAACATATTCATCAAATATCTATGCTATTGCTTTTAATCATAATAATTGAATAGAAGTAGATTTATGAGGTCGATAAGAATATAGTTATTATGAATCGTCATTATTGTCATAATCAATTTACTGGTGACATTGTAAATTGCGACTGAACGTTTGATTATAGTATTGATCACATATGGTTTCTTTGAATATTAGTTGATTGCATTCGATTAAAGCTATCATTAAACAAAAAAGACCGTTCAAACAAAAACAGCTTTGATGGATTACTAAAAATGTCCTATGCTCAAAATAGTTATGCAAGACTTCATTAGGTAAATGTTAATTAGATGAATAATAATTAGGTCGATACTCGATGGTTGAATATTAATTAATACGTTAAAAAAAAGATAAACTCTAATTTTATGTTACAAATATCTCAATTTTTTTGTGCATCGTGGTAAAAATCAATCAAAAACTGTTTTCTCGTTCTACAACGAATGATGATAATTAAGTTTTCTAGATTTGTATTATGAAATAAATATTAGGATAGAATATTACGAATGTCTGCATTTTGTTTTTTTTTACAAATCCCTTTTTTTTTTATTGTGCATTCGAAAGAATAATATTGTTGTATTCTGAATATAAAAAAAAATATAATTAATTCACAACAATGTTCACACATATATTCAACAAAAATTATAAGTAGGGTTGCCAACCGGCAAATAATTGTGATAAATTTTCTATACTTGTTGCTTCTTGTATTAACATGTTAACATGAGCTTTAATAGTCATTTGATTGAGACGTTCAACTCCTTGTAACTTTTGTCGAAGACCTAATAGAAGTCGTTCAGCCATTTTATTTGTATCTAAATATAAAATTAGTCAATCAATAGTTATTCTTTTTTTTTTGAATCAAACCTGTTGTAACAGATTCTCCTCCAGTATTTGAAGATGTTGAAGATGAAGATGATTGTAGCATATTTCCTTTTCCAGAGGATCGATTTAAAGATGATGCTACAGAATCACTTGTTTTATCAAATTGTTGTTGAAGTTGTAATGCTTTTTGTGGTGATAATTGCCATTGATAAAGTGGATCATAAAGAAAAACTTCAATTATTGTTATTAATGTATCTGCATATTGACGCATTAATTCAAGAGTTATTTCACAGCTTCTACAAAATGCGAAATATAAACATGAAATTAAAAGATAAAAAAAACAAACAAACAAGACAATCTTTTCTTGTGAATTACTTTTTAAAAAGACCTTCTGTACCACATATACCAAGACCATCAATAATATCACGTGTTAATCGAAATGGAATAGTTTCAGGTATTGGTAACCTTGAGAAAAAAGAAAAAAAGAACATTTTATGATATTCATAAAATTTTATATTGAACTAACATTTTTCCTTGATCAAAAGCAACACCTAAATCTATATGAATAACTTCAGCTGTTTGTGTATCAATTAAAATATTTTGTACATGACGATCACCAAGTCCAACAATATATCCAACAATTGATGATGTTGCTACACTTTTTGCATAAGCTTGTTTTTTTCTATGCCATATATTTGGTTTATTATAATATTCATAAAAGAAATATCGAAATACTGGTCTTAATTTTGAACATGCATGCATAAATGTACGTATACGTTCATCTTTACCAGAATTTGTACTTTTATGTATATGTCGTCGACAATCCATAGCTGTCCAATCATCTGGATGATAACGTGGATGAGCACCATCAGGTACTTTTGTTAAATAATCTCCAAATGTTATTGTACCTTCACACCATTCTAACACTCCACTTTTTTGTCTAATAGAAAAGAAATAAAATTATTCATAGAATTAAGATGTAAATAAACCGAGATATTCTTGTTTTTTTTTTCTTTATATGCAAGAAGATTTTAATTATAACTAAAAATCGACTAAATCCGATATTAGATTTGATGTAAGACGTCAAATGGTTCGACTTCAAGATCTATCTATTCAATTCAAACAATGACAACTATCTGAATCTAGATATGTATGGATCACTATGGAAACATTCAAAAGATTTAGTTAACATCGCTTTCGACTATTTCTGAGTGACATTCATATTTTTTCGAAACACATATTATTCTTCAACTTTTGAATATTTTCTTTCAATGTTCGTAAATCTTTCATGATCAGTGATGTACTTTCCTTTTTCGATTTCCTTTTAGGTATCACAAGACGAAGTTTCTCACCATATATATATATACTATAAAAGGAATAAGTATCTGAGTAAGTGATGACAAAAAAAAATTCCAATATTCTATTCAATAGACAAATTAATCTTTATCTTATTTCTCTTATGCTATTGTTCTACAATTTAGACTAACAAAAAAACTATTTAACATACGTTAGTGGAACAACTTTATATGTTCGAATATTAAGTGATCGATGACATGTAAGATCATCTTTATCTAATAAACGATTAACAACAGTAAATAATTGTTGCATAACAGCATCTTGTCTTAAATCATCTTTTCCTTTAAGTAATTGAGATAATTGTCGACCAGTTGAACTATGACATAAGATTTTTTTTGGTGCATTAACACCACCAACCATCGCATATTCTGAATTAAAATTTTTAATTGTTTCAATATTTTTATAAATACCATCATTAGCAACCTAAATTAAAAGCAAAAAAAAAGGAAATTCCTTTCTTTTAATTAATAATAAATATATTCTTTACAGGTATAGTTATTGTAGGTACAACAACTTCATGAAAATCTTTAATATGCATAAGTCGAAGATGTTTTGGAAATGTTGGATTTTTTCCATTCGTATCTTTTCCTTGTTGATCATTTTTTGTTGGTGTTACATCCCAATAAGCTGCTTCAATATAAGCATCATTTAATTTTCTCATTTGATCAACAAGTTGTGGTTTAACTTTTGTACATTCATCTAATAAATATTGTGCAGCACGTGAACGAGCATCATTATTTATTTCATTATTTAATTGAATAATTCCTATAGTATTTGATTTTTTTGTTGTAGTTGATGATGATTGTTGTTGATTAATATGTGCATCTTTATGAGCATTAGTAAGTGCAAATATAACAGGTAAAACATGATGTGGATGATCAATAATACATCGTGATAAATATTCTAAAAGAATTGTATGAAATGATAATGATAATTTATCATTTGTTAAAGCCATTCTTGCTGCCATTTGATAAACAAATGGTAAGAAAAAATATGTTGATATATATGAAAGATTTTTTTTTAATGTTTTATTAACTTCATCATTATTTGAATTTGTAAACCAATATGAAAGACATTTTGATGTAATCATTATTTCAGATACAGAATTATTTTTAATAATATCTCGTGATATAATTTGATTTGTTTGTTCTATATTTGATACATTAGAAAATAATTTTAAACATATTAAATAATTATTTAATGTTGATATTAAATAACTATATTGTAATTTTTTTTGTTCATCAATTTCTTTTTTATCCATATCTAAACTACGTTTTAAAACTTTTGTATAACGTCCTAATGGATCTAATTTTTCTTGTTTATTATATTCAATTTGATTACGTGTTATTAATAAACGTTTATTTTCAAACATTGGTGAATGAAATAATTGATTTAAACGTTGATATTCATTATCACTAAAATGTGCCATAGCTAAATAAGATTCAAATATAAGTGATAATGATGATTTATCTAAATTTTTAATTGAATTTGATATTATATCAAGTTGTTGTTTAATTGTTGTTGATGTTTCACATCGAGTTTCATTAAGCCAATCACATAATAATAAACGACAACGAATATGTGTTAAATCAGGTAATGGAGATTCAATTAATTGTCGAAGATATTCACCGGCTGTATCTTGTTGACGAAGAACAAGAACTTTAGCACGAAGAAAAGATAATTCATGAGAATATGATGATTCGATTAAAGGAGATAAATCACTTAAATATCGATCACATAACTAAAAAAAAGAAAAGTTAAATATTTTAGTATTGAATTAACATGTAATAGAAATTTGTCGAAGAACTAATAAGTCACTTTCTCACGTGTGATTCTATAAGTATGTGCACGTCAACTATCTAATCTTGTGAAAAAATTGCTTTTAAAAGTAAAATTTTTAAGCACCAAAGTTAAATAAGTACAATTATAAATGATTATATACAAGAAGTCTGCCAGTTCACACAACGCGCAACATTATGATCGTATAACTCTATGTAGTATTTGAAGAAGTGGGATGATTTTCGAAAATGAAAATACTTATTCAATGCTTTCGGATACAACTTTTGTTTTATTTTACATTTATCTATATATGATTTTGTTACTACGTATAGAGCCACGAAACATGTAAATATATACATAAAGCCTACTTCAAAATACAAAACCAGCAATAATAATTACTCATTATTTTTAAAAATTTTAAATTCGTTCGTTAAAAAAAGAACAGCGATGATAGAAGATCAGCAAACCGTCAAATTTCGCAATTTCATCGATGGAAGCTTTAGCATCGCTCTACAAAAGAACAGAATAGAATGATGTGGTAGCATAACTTGGATCTCTCTGAAATTTAATGCAGATATTGCCTGAATTTGTCTCAAAAATAAAATGAACAGATTTTGAAAGGGTACATAAAATTTCCTTAGTATGATGAAGCTCAGTTACTTTCATTGATCCATGATAATAGTCATTAAATTACTATTTATTTAAGACTAGAAGACATTCTTGGCTACTACTTGCTGAATAGTTAGTTAAGAGTTTTAATACTAGAAGTTTTTTAGAATCTTAAACGAAAAAAAAAACAGTAATTAAATGAAACTGATTTACTTGAAGTTTTTTTGAATTCAATGCATTTTGACATAATTGTGTAACAAGATCTGCTAAAAGTGTTTGTTTAATATTTCGATTTTCTGTATCTTCATTAATATTATGTAATAATAATTTATGTGTCATAGCTACACGTGTTAATAAAATTTCATCATTTTGATCGAACATATCTTCTTTTATTTGATTATTAAATTGATTCATCCAAATTTTTGATAATATTTTTGGATTTTGATAATTCATTGTAATATCATCAATAATATTAATTAAAGAATATTCACGTAAATCAGAAACATTTGACCATAGATTATGATCAATTAATTGTGGTATTGATGATGATGGAATACGTATTTGTCGTTGTATTATTGATAAAATATTTTCTCGTATAGAATTTGATGATTGTTCATGATGTATTTTCCATTGTGTTAATTTATTTTGTTCAGTTAATAATGATGTTAATTGAATACGATAAAATATTGGATCAGATAATGATGATATTTGATGTAAATATTGTTCAAGTATATGATTAAAACCACATAAACGTAATGATTGAATTAATTTTGATGAATCTATTGTTAATGCTGCTTGATCATAATAAAATAATGAATCATAATAATTATTATTTAATTGATTAAATTCTCCATATAGATTTGGACGATTTTGAAAACATTTATCTAGACCATAAAATTCATCAGATTGATTCATATTTGAATTAATACGAACAAATAAATCTATTAAATCTGATGATGAAGATAACATATCAATATCAGAATAATATAAATGTGTTAAGTAATTATTAGCTGGTAAAATTGATCTAAATAAATAGAAATTAAAACATAATATATGAATTATTGAAAATAAGAAAGTTTCAATAACACGATAGAAATGATGTCGATTCCATGAAGTAAAAATATTGAAATGAGAAACATTACTATTTTAGATAATATACTTTTGTTGTTGTTTTTTTTAACCATCAACTTAATCATTCAAAAATATGACTCAATAAACTTTTTTATTATAGTATAAGCTATATTCAACAATCGACAGAAGTTTTTTTTATACAATAGACGAGCGACTTTGATTCTAAAAAATTGGTGAGCTTTATCAAGTCTTATCAGTGAAATTTTGTTTTGAAATTCTACCAAAGAAATTCATGTGACAAAGTTTGTGATCTACTGTTGATCTCTTCTTTGTACAAAATAAAATAAAGTGATACATGATGAAAGTTGTTTTTTCTTTTTCTGCAAACGAAAATAGTTCAGCAATGTCTCTCGAGTTACGAGCACTACTACATACGTATAATATGTGCCGTTGGATGGA